TCTATTGTGGGGCTGGGGGTTGTTGAGCAGGGTTCAGTAGATTAATGAAGGGGTCACCAGGATTGTTTCTGGCTAAAAGGTGAGCCAGTACCAACTGAAAAACACCGAACTGTTGTTGCATGGCAGCAAGCTGAGCTGCCACTACGTCTTGGTTGGCAGTTGAAGTGGAATTGTGAGCTGAGGCATGGGGTTGGTTTTCATCTCCTCCTTCGGCATGATCAACAGGAGGGAACATAGTGGGGACCTGATGTGGAAGCTGAGGTGTAAGTTGGGGGGGAATCAGAGGTAGAAGGTTGTTGGGGGGTTGACCTTGCCCATGAGGCAGAGATGAATTACCAGCTCGGACTGATCGAGTGTGAACCATGATGAAAGAGCAACTAAAAAGCTTTCAGTTCGATTCCCACAGATGACGCCAATGTAATTGCACCAAACCAGAAGTCCTTCTTCAGCCCGCGCCTGTACTCCGGGATGACCTGCAAAGCCCCGAGGTGGAACTCGGGGTAGACACTCCGATGCTTAAGTCAGCAATAATTGGGGCTACCTTTAGGGCGGAGATAAAAAGAGCTTAGGGTTGGTTTCAATTACCTTTTGACATGGCCCGGAGGGGGTATTTATAGGATCCGATGAGGAATCCACGTGGCATGCCAAGCAAGATAATCGGAGCCTGACGTGTCCATCCAGACGATTATTCCGGGACCGGGAATTTGAGAAGTATTCAGATGCACAGGTGTCCACCATACCTGCTGTGCCACTCATCATAAGGAATCGGGTGCAGGCATGCTCATTGTTACTGTCATGCAGCTATTTGAGCGGGAAGCTCTGGGTCTATCCTTCACTTCAGTCATAAAGGAATTACTGTAGCAGTCCGAGGCTTGGCACCTCGGACCTGTCCTTACACTATCGGATCTGGATCTGCCTTTACCAAAAATTTCCGCCTTGTTTATTTTGTTTTTTATCTTCTGTGAATATTGTGATATTCTGTGGTAGAGTTCTATGAATTGCTAGAGAGATTAATTAGGATCAAGCATGTTTTTACCTTATTTCTGTTCTTTTTTTTGAAGTTTATGAATCTGGAATTAAATTGAGGAATCTAAGTTTTCTTAAAGATTAGAACTGGCAGAACAAAAATCCTAGAGTTTTTTTATTTTTTTTTGTGGTTTTTATTATTTTTGCCCATTCTGATAGTCAGGTCCTGTATATTAGGTTAAATGATTTAAAAAACATATATAAAATTTAAATAATAAGGATTATTTTATTTTTAATAATTAAGATTTATTTATTTTTATTAAAAATAAAAAAATAAATGGGTTTAATACCCAATTTGGTCCCTAAACTTTCATTTTGAAACTTAATTCATCCTTTAACTTAAAAAAGCACTCAACTCATCCTTAAACTTTATTTTTTCAAAACCCAAATGGTCCTTCCGTCACTAAAGTGCCCAACTGGCACGTTAACTCGCCACGAATTAACACTTTAATTTTAGGAATTTTAGGAAAACTATGTGAAAAAAAAAGATAATTTCGTAATTTTAATAAATTTAATAGAAAAAAATATATAATTACAATTTTAACCCTCCTTTATCTTCAACCTCTATCTCTTTGCCATTTTTGTTCTTTTCCTTGTTCTCCAGCACCGACATCGACACCAATGCCAGTAGCAACATTCTTTCCTTTACTCATTTTTCTCTCTACTCTCCATTCTCATCGTTCCTCGTTCCTCATTTCCCTTTTCTTTCCCTTTTCTTTCCCCCTTTTTTTTTTTTTTCTTCTTTTCATTTCTAGTTGGGGTTTAAAGCCCATATTAGGATTGGGGATTCAACCCAGATCAGGTTTGGAGTTTTAATCTAAGGACTTGGAATTCCTGATTGATCAAAACTAAGGCATCACAAGTGGTTATGAAGCAACAAACATCAACAAATGACGTCGATCTGAAAGGTATGGCTCCAATCTGGATGAGCAATCTAGATGAGTATCGATCTATAATTCATGGAGGCTAACAACAACAATGGCGATGGTGTGAAGCTTTGTGATGGAGCTTTGCATATGATCCATGGTGTTTGGTGATGGGTTTTTGGTTGAATGTACTGTTCCACTTTAATCTTGAATATACATGCTCAGTTCTAGTTTATGTTGGTGAATTTTAAATGCATTTAGGCTCCATTAGGGCCTAGTTTTGGTCTTTGATTTTTTTTTTTTTTTGCAATTTTTGTGGATTTTTAACTTTGGCCGAAATTTGGAGATTCTCCCGGAATTTTAGACCGGGGGTAGAATTTCCAAACCTGTCGATCCTTGGAAATCACATGGAAAATGGACCAAAAAAACAAAAAGAACAAATTCAGTTTCCCGTGAATTTTCTTTGCAACAAACAGGCACATAAGAGGCATTTTGTAGGTTGTCATGCTTCCAGGTACATCGTTTTGGAGCAGTCTCGGAGGTAAAAACCCGAAGGCGCCCATTATTTGTTTGGATCTGGAAGTTACCTAGCTAAGGGAGACCAAAATGTTGACAGAATCCAGCTAGGATCTGCCTACTCTTTTGCTTCCAAAACCTAGGAGAAGTTCAAAAATAGACCAAAAAGAACCCTTGAAAATCACCGAAAGAACCCCCTCTCTTTTTTTTGCCCTCGACTACTTTCCTATTAAATTTATTAAAATTACCAAATCATTAGTCTTTTTTTCACGTAGTTTTTTCTAAAATAAAAGTGTTAATTCATGGCAAGTTAATGTACCAGCTGGGCACTTTGATCAACGGAAGAACCATTTGGGTTCTCAAAAAATAAAATTTAAGGACGATTTTAGTGCTTTCTGAAGATAAATGACGAATTAAGTTTCGAAATGAAAGTTTAGGGACCAAATTGGGTATTAAAGCAAATAAATAATTAAAATTTTATATAAATATAATACATAAAATTTATATATAAATTTATATTGATAATAAATT